TAAAGAGAAAAGTGTCGGTTCTCTTTAGGGTAAGTTTACCGTATTAGACGTACGACCCACAAGATGAGGTAGGTTGCATAGAAAGGCATCTTACCTTAGGCTTCCTATGATACCGTCCCGTATAGGTTTTAACGTCCTGTAAATATAGTATAGTTTGTTCTGGTTCGTAGCTTCAACCAAAGATTTTTTTTTTCTCTTTCGTGGCGTAACCACCACATTTATTTCAACAATCTTCATTAAAAAGGAACAATACAATATTTCCTTTTTTTTTCCAAGTTCTTTTCATTCCTTTCTTTTTTTTAAAAATATTTATATAATTCAATGACAACAGTACTATCAAATTATTATTATTTTTATAATCAGTTTTAACCACAGAAAATATCAATAGTAAATATTGATTAAAAAAAAACCATAGTGCATGTATATATATATATATATATATATATACATATACATACACACACATACATGTAAATGCCGTCAATCAGGGATATCAACACAATTCCATGACAATGTGGACATCTTCATTAATTATTTATTAATCATATTTTTTGTGATTTTCCACCAATCACAAAGTACTCAAACACAATTTATGCAAATTTTATTAAATTTTGAGTTTTATCAATGTGTGGAAATTACATATGAAACTGAGGATACACATACCATTCACACACAAAATTACCTTTACATGTGCTGCTTGTCCTCAGTATCATGGTAGAAAATCAACTTTGAATGATAACAATGAAATTGAGGAAGCATACTTTATATACAAACAATAGTCACCTTGATATGACATAGGGGACAATAATATCCACATTGTCATGGTAGAAATTCAACTCTGAATGTTAACAATGAGATTGTGGAAACACACTTAATGCACACTGCAGACACCTTGACATGACATTGGGGACAACAATATCCACATTGTCATGGTTGAAAATCAACTCTGAATGTTAACAATGAAGTTGTGGAAACCCAATTACCAGTCACACTGTAGACATCTTGACATGACAGTGGGGACAATAATATCCACTTTGTCATGGTAGAAATTCAACTCTGAATGTTAACAATGAGATTGTGGAAACACACTTACAGGCACACTGTAGACACCTTGACATGACATTGGGGACAACAATATCCACATTGTCATGGTAGAAATCAACAATGAATGTTAACAATGAGATTGTGGAAACACAATGTATTAACTTTCGACATTGAACCCGGGACATTATTATCCTCACTGTCCTGGTAGAGTGTCGAATATAAAGGGAAAAAATGAGATTTGAAAAATAATATATTGAACATGACGGTGACCTTGTGGAAAATGAAACTGTATGTTTAACATAATGGGCTTATTCGACTGGTTACTTTCGATGAGTACGAATTTTTGTTGAGTATTATTTTCATTCGACTGGTTCGTAAAATAGACTTCATTGGCAACGAAAATTAACGTAACCAGAATGCATTAATCAGCGTTAAGTTATCCATGTGACCAAAAAAAAAAAAAAAAATTATAATATTTACCCACATTAAGTTAAAAAATAATTGTCCGAAGCAGCCTTGATTACGCAGAGTGTATTGCGGTAACTATGCAGCCATTTAGTTTTGTCGAGTATTTACCAATTCTCTATTCGACTGGTCATCTTCGTTTAGTAGGATTTTACCACTGCACAGGTGGGCGTAGTTTAACGAAGAATGACCAGTCGAATACGGCCAATAATACTGTACTTCTGATATGCGGCGATGTCAAGCCAAAACGGTACCAACAATACTGTAAAACGTGATTTTAGTTAGACACTCGAACCCGGAAGTATGAAAAACGAAAGCAAATCATCGTTTAATACTCACGAAATTACTGTTTTTTTCAATCGTGTTCCGGGGTCAAACTCGTGTCAAGTTTGATATCGTTGGAAAGCTTAGAATGTCAGCTACAGTTTTGATTGGTCAGTTCATCCTCACAAATTATTTAACCAATCAAAACAGTCGTTTTGGTACTGTAAACAATTCGGAAGCGGCCTAGCAACAAACAGAAACACGCATGCTGATTGGTCTAATCCAGTCAGCTGACCATTTTTGGGGCGTGTCTAAGACCGCGTCGCTTGGGTTTTCGATGGAAGCGTCGGCAAGGTAGTAGTGCGCGTTACATGTTTTCATCGAAGCTCGAAGTTCGAAGTTACTTGTTTACTGCTGCAATAATTATAAAACAATAATACTGTTTCTTTTACACAAGAAAATTGTAGTACAGGTACATGCAAAATGGGCTATACTGTATAACACAGACTTGATAAAGTTGACGACGAATAAAACGCGTTCTGTAATAGTTTAACGCACTGGTTTGAAGGTCGCAGTGTTCGATTTGCGGTTGTTTACAGTAAAAACGACCATCACATTTGAATCAGTAATATCACATTTATTAATGAATGTAAGTACATGAAACTTGGTACAGCTATAAAATACATTATGTAAAATGTTTCTGCGAAATTTCATTTCAATCGGTCAATGGTAACACCTCCGTTGTTAAGGAAGTATCGCACACACCGAACACATGTGAGTGAGCTACACGC